AAATAAGATAGTCTGTCTGCCTCCAGATTGCCTGCCTAACTGAGGGCAAGATGTATATTTTAAAATTGAATAAAAGCAAATAGGACTAGGGCTTCTGGAAGCCTCTCCCCTAGAGAAAGGTTTTTGCCTGGCCTCCATGCCTTCTAAATTTATATTTCCTGTCTAGTGTCTACATTTTTGTGTGGCTCCTTTTCCAGATCCTGAATCCTCACTCCTAAAGTTTGTGGCAGCCCTAGCAAATAATAGATGTGCTACAAGCAAAATGGCATAACCAAAAGAGATCATTGCCAGCTGATGTGATTAAGTAAGACTGCTAGCCTGGCTGGTGATGCTCAGTATCAACCCATGAACCAGGAAGTCGAGGTTTAATTCCCATACAGGACACATGCCTGGGTTGTGGGCTTGATCTCCAGTAAGAGGTGTGCAGAAAGCAGGCAATGAATCAATGATTCTCTCTCATTGATGATGTTTGTATCCTTCTCTCCCTCTCCCTTCTCCTCTCCGAAATTAATAAAAACTTAAAAAAAGTCTAGAGGACATGGGATTTTTGCTGAGCTGTAGAGATGACAAGAGGGGAAAGTATTTAAGTTATCGTCTTCGGTGTCAACAATCCAAATTTCATTTAAAAGCCTAACCCACTTAAGCAGGATCTCTTGAAAACAAGCTGAATTTGATTCACTTTAATGCCTTAAGACTTCAGTCAACTTTGACAACAACATGACTTTCAAGGTATAAAATCTGGGAGAAAATATTTTACACACCCACCAGTATTTATAGCGCTAGAAATATTATTTGCTTTTATAAATTTATATCACGATAAAAAGGGAGAAGTAGTCGAAACTGGTTTGGCTCAGTGGATACAGCTTCGGCCTACGGACTGAAAGGTCCCAGGTTTGATTCCAGTCAGAGGCATGTACCTTGGTTGTGGGCGCATCCCAGTAGGGGGTGTGCAAGAGGCAGCTAATCAATGATTCTCTCTCATCGATGTTTCTAACTCTCTATCCCTCTCTCTTCCTCTCTGTAAAATATCAATAAAATATATTTTAAAAAAAGAAAAGAAAATGTTTCTGATGTGCTTTTTTTTTTTTTTTAAAGGGAGAAGAATGTTTCATAAAAACCTTGTAACCGGGAGAATCCAAGATGGCTGCCCAGGTAAACACCTAGCCGCAGCCACACACAACAATTTCAATAAAATACAACTAAAATATAAAATGGGCATTACCCAGAACTACAGGAAAGTCAACTGACTGGAAATTCTACAACAAGAAGCAAGGAGAAAACCAAAATGAAGAGTGGAGGAGCTGTAAAAGCCTAAGGTATGGAGACACGCGGCGCGCGGAGAGGACAGAGCCGGAGAGGAGGGAGGCTGAGTGCCTGGCTGGCGTTACCTAGCAGGAAGGAGATAAAAGCTCCAACTGTGTTGGGCCCCAGTTCCCACTGCTCTGAACCCCAGTTCTAGGCCAGACCCCGGGGGCCCAGGCTCAAACAGAGGGAGCCGGGGCTGCGAGGCGGAACCCCGGGGGAGCGGCAAAAGGCAGAGCCCTCAGAGGCACGCACATTGCGCGCAGAGAAGGGATGGTTGGCTGTGCTGCGGGATTGCCCTGGCGGGAAGGAGACAGGGGCTCCAGACTGCTCTGAACGCCACCTCCAACTCCACTTCCAACTGAACTGAACCCCAATATTGGGCTCATTGGGGGAGAGCATAGACTGTTTGATAGCAGGCGAAAATCGAGGGCACCTTTCTCTCAGAAGCACTTGCAGCGAGTACTGAAGGACCCTGAGACCCAGGAGCCGCATAGGGCGGGGCTGACAGAAGCCAAGGCTGCAGGCTCCACCCCGAAATCCCACCCCATCTGTAGCTGAGAAATTCGACAATGAAATAGATCACAAACGAAAGAAATGGAGGACAAAAAGCAACTGGATATAGAGTTCAAATCTATGCTTATAAGGTTTTTCAAGAATTTCCTAGAAAAGAGCGATAAGAACTATGAGGATATGAAAAGAGATCAACTAGAATTAATAAGGAATCAATAAGAAATAATAAGGGATCAACAAGAAATAAAGAATACATTGTCTGAAATAAAAAATATTATACAGAGTCCTAAAAACAGAATGGAAGATTGCAAGAATCAAATCAAAGATTGGGAACATAAAGAGCCAGAAGACACTCCTCCGCAGAAGCTAGAAGGCAAGAGAATCCAGAAAATTGAAGATAATGTAAGAAACCTCTGGGACAGCTTCAAGCGAACCAACATCAGAATTATGGGGGTCCCAGAAGATGAGAGAGAGCAAGATATCGAAAATATACTGAAAGAAATAGTGACAGAAAACTTCCCCCACCTGGTGAAAGAATTAGACTTACAAGTCCAGGAAGCGCACAGAACTCCAAACAAAAGGAATCCAAAGAGGTCCACACCTAGACACATCATAATTAAAATTCCAAGAGCAAAAGACAAAGAGAAAATATTAAAAGCAGCAAGAGAAAAGCATGTAGTTACTTATAAAGGAACACCCATACGATTGTCAGCTGATTTCTCAACAGAAACCATGCAGGCCAGACGGGAAAGGTAAGAAATATTCAAGGTGATGAATAGTAAGAACCTACAGCCAAAGATAATCTATCCAGCAAAGCTATCACTCAGAATCGAAGGTCAGATAAAGAGCTTCACTAATAAAAAAATGTTTAAGGAGTTCATCACCACCAAACCAGAATTATATGAATTGCTGAAGGGGGTTCTTTCAGAAGAGAAAGTAAATAAAGATAAAAATTATGAACAACAAATACGTAACTATCAACAAGTGAATCTAACAACCAAGGAAATTTAAAAACCTGATGAACAATATTAACTGTTGAATATAATAGAATCAGAGGTATGGAAGGGGAGTGAACTGATGATTCTTGGGGAAAAGGGGAGAGGGGGGTGTGGGAAGAGACTGAACATAAACTGTGCACCTATGGATGAGGACAATGGGAAGTGGGGAAAGGGCAGAGGGTGGGGTGGGAACCTGGTGGAGGAGAGCAATGGTGGTGGGGGGGAAAGGAACATTTGTAATAATATGAACAATAAAAATTTATTTTAAAAAATAATTATTACTAGAGGCCCAGTGTACAAAATTCATGCACGGGTAGGGTCCCTGTGCCTGGCTGGTGATCAGGGCCGATCTATGATCGGGGCGGGGTGGTGGGGGAGCCCAAAGGAAAAAAAGAACAACCTTGTAACCCACCCTGTATCTTTTAAAAGTGTTTTTCTTAAAGATGTATCGTTAACTAATATATAACCGATGATAAGCTGCTTATTTGTGGTAAAGTTCCAGGAACTAGCTGTTGGGGAAGGCGGCTGATCCCAGCAACCAGATATTCTGGCTCCAGGAGAATTGCTGATTCTCAAGCATAAAAACCTGATCTTTGTTGCCCTGAATGGGCGGCTCATTGGTTGAAGTGTTGCCAATTGGATTTCTGATGAGGGCACATACCTAGGTTTTGGGATCCATCCCTCAGTCGGGGTGTATATGGGAGGTGGCCCATTGATGTTTCTCTTCCTCTCTCTCCTTTCCTCCCTCTCTAAAATCAAATTTAAAACAAGATCTTCAGGTGAGGATTAAAAAAGAAAGTTAAGCCCTATCTGGTATGGATAAGTTGGTCTTATGGTTTGATTTCCAGTCAGGGCACATGCCCAGGTTGCCAGTTTCATCTCCTATCAGGATGCATTCATGAGGCAACTGATTGATGTTTCTTTTCTTTTCTTTTAATATATTTTATTGATTTTGTACAGAGAAGAAGGGAGAGACATGGAGAGTCAGAAACATCGATGAGGGAGAGTCATCGATCAGCTGCCTCTTGCACACCCCCTACTGGGGATATGCCCGCAACCAAGGTACATGACCTTGACCGGAATCGAACCCGGGACCCTTCAGTCCCCAAGCCGACGCTCTATCCATTGAGCCAAACCGGTCTCGGCTGATTGAAGTTTCTTTTTCTTTCTTTCTTCTCCCTTCTCTCTCTCTCTAAAATAAATAAAAACTTTTTTTTAAGTTAAAAAAAATAAACCAGACCTATGCTCGACCAATTTCAAGATAATCATTGGCATGGACTATGCTGTCTTACACATAGAGAACTTTCAAACACCCTCCTACCTCGTTTCTCTGTTCTGCTTTCCCTCTCCCTCCTCTTAATAAAACCCCCTGCCTTCCTGAGATGTTAAGATGGACACTTTCTCAGTTTGCTGGCATTTGAATAAACCACTTTCTTTCTTACCAGCACCTGTCTCATGAGTTTGGCTTTCCTTGTGGCAGGCAGCTGAAACCTGGGTTCAGTTAGTTTTACTGAGCAGCAGCTAACTAAAATCTTAGTCTAACCAAAGTTGACTTGATAGTAGCAGGAAATGCACTTTGGAATTACTTGTGTTATATCTTCACAGTGCTGCATTACTCCAGATGTAAATAAATACTCAAATTTCAGTAGTTCCTTGGGGGTCAGGAAGAGAGGCTGTTGCTCCCTATCTCACAACTCAGTCCTCAGTTTGTGTTTCAAATCAAACTGACGGATTCTATAGGGCTCCCATCCTAAATCACATGCATCTACTAAGTCGGTCTTCAAAAACTGGAACACAAAGCAGATATTTTCAAAGTTCATGGTTCTTAATCAGAGCTCCTCCAGGGAGGAGACTTGCAACAACTTATGTCCTCCCGGGCACGTGGTGGGGTGGCACGGTGTGGTCCTGCTTGAAAAGGGGCTCCAGGAGAGCAGTGTGTACGCAGAACAGCCCATATTTCTGCCGTCACGGAAGTGCTTCCGCCTCAGCGCTTCCCCAGGCGGGTTCCTCCCTCCTTTCCTTCCAGGGCCTCCTCCGCCCACGCCCCGCCCCCAGGGGCGGAGTCGCGCCTAGGCCCGCCCCCAGCGGCCCCTTTGCGGCCCCAATAGACCCGCCCAGGGTGAGGCGACACGGCACTAGGGGCGGGGCCGCGCCCCTCTCGGCCGCCGTGCCGCCGCCGCCCCAAACATGGCGCCGGGCCGCTTCTGGCGCTGCTGCCTGCGCGGCGCAGGCTGGGTGCCGGTGCTGTTCATCACTTTCGTGGCGGCGTGGTCCTACTACGCGTATGTGGTGGAGCTGTGCCTGTGTGAGTGCCGGGCGGGCGGGCGGGACCGGCCCTCGGCGGCGCCGTGGGGTGGGCGCTCGCTCCGAAGGCTCCGCGGCGGAGCGCCGGCGGAAGTGTGTGGCCGGCTCTGCGTCTGTGACGCCCGCCCGCCGGGGGGAACCGGGCCGGGCCGGCGGCCGGGCGGGCGGGCCGCGGTGTCGCTCCGCCGGGGACCACCGCCGCGGGCGCGGCGCCGCCTCCTCCCGCCTCCCGCGCTGCCCGCGCCTGGAAGTTCATTATTTCAAGTCAGTCAGTAACTCGCACACAATGCTGCTTTTAGACAAAGAGTGAGTGAGATGACGGCCTTTTTCGCCGCTGTTTTCTAACGGAGGCTTCGCTCATCCCTCAGATGCTGAGATCTCCTTTTATTGTCCTTAACTCTTTCCCCCGTTAGTTCTCACCCGATTCCCTGGAAAAGGGAAGGAACATCCTAGGACACTTCAAAGGCTTGGTTAGGTTGTTCTTAAGATGGAAGGAAACTGGCCGTCAACCAAAACAGTGTTCCGGGATATTGTTTGATTGATTTTTTTTAAATAATATATTTTATTGATTTTTCACAGAGAGGAAGAGAGAGGGATAGAGAGTTAGAAACATCGATGAGAGAGAATCACCGATCAGCTGCCTCTTGCACTCCCCCTACCGGGGATGTGCCCGCAACCAAGGTACATGCCCCTGACCGGAATCGAACCCGGGACCTTTCAGTCCGCAGACCGATGCTCTATCCACTGAGCCAAACCGGTTCTGTCCTAACGGAATAGATCTGCTTCAGACTCTGGCCGGCCGTCCGCCGCTGTCACCTTCTCCGTGAAAACGGAGCCTCGCCCTGTGGGTGCTCTCAGAGCAGCCCCTGGCTCTCCCTAGTCTTCGCGTCCGTGCAGGTCCGCGCTGTCCAAAGGGCCGCTATTATATATACTTAAAAGGGCACAGGAGATAGAAACGGTTTGTGTGAGTGGAAAGCTGTACCTCCCGCTCCGCTTGAAGTTGCCGCAACCAGGGCTTCCCCAGTTACGGCTGCGGATTTGTTCAACTCTCAAATAAGTACTTGGCAAAACCCGAGTTCTGTGCGTGGAAGAGAATGCTTTGCCTCTGAATGCGTAGAGATAGGTTTTTAAATGAAAATATCCTCCTTTAGGAAAATTATTTTGTACTCTGGAATATTTAATTCCGAGGGAAACAGAACCAGAATAACTTAGTTGTGGAATACATTTTCAAATAATAATCTGCTGAATATTATTCAGTCTCGTCTTTTTGGATACCAGAATGTTTGCCAACAATGATTTTTGAATCAATTAAGATTGGCTAGAGTTAGGTATTTTTTGAGGCTACTTCTAGTAGGTGATAGTGATCATAGAGTTCTCATCAGCTTATGATGATACTTTTTATCTTACTGACTCTGAAGTGGGCATTTATTACAAAAGTTGTACCTGTCTTATTCTGTCAGAAGATTGTCCCCACCCTATTTTAATCTCATAGTGGTTTTGAAGTAAAGCCTGTGACGGAACACTAAAAATGTGCATTTATGTTGAAATTGCAGATTTAATTTATCAAAAGATTTCATCAAACAAAGAAAGGAAAGTGAACATGAATTAAGAAGTGCTGTGTGCACTAATAGGGATAAGAGGGGGGCATTTCATCATTCCTCCCTCAGTATGCCACAGATGTAAGAAATGAGACTGAGCAAATAGGCTCTTTGGTAGGTCACACAATTGTTGAGTGGGTATTAGAATGTGCCATATCTTTCTATTTTACATAGAATTTTTAGTGAGTCATGAGCATATTTTGAAATACTGATGGTGAAAGGTCTTACATAGTGCCTGTATTTAATACTTCTAAGTTATCTGAGTGACAGTAGGGAGAATTTGGGAAGTCTTCTGGACTTGAGCATAAAAACTCATTCAGTCTCATATTTAAACTCTTCTTTAAATTATTCATGTATATTTGTTTTTATAAGCACAAACCTTCCCACTGAAATACATTAATATATAACTTTATTTTTTTCATTAATATATAATTGAGAGAAGTATCTTAATGTGCTGTTTTCATAATTTTTATAAAATTTTCTTAGCTTCTGGTATTCTTTTCTTTTTTTTTTTTTTAAATATGTTTCATTGAATTTTTTACAGAGAGGAAGAGAGAGGAATAGGAAGCTGGAAACATCAATGAGAGAGAAACATCAATCAGCTGCCTCCTGCACTCCCCCTATTGGGGATGTACCCGCAACCAAGGTACATGCCCTTGACTGCAATCAAACCTGGGACCTTTCAGTCCGCAGGCCAACGCTCTAGCTACTGAGCCAAACTGGTTTCGGCAGCTTCTGGTATTCTTTATCAAACTGTATGGGAAAGGATGATAATAATTATCTTTATATGTGTTAATTTATTTAATGCTCATAATAATCTCCATAAAGTAGGCCCTGGCTAAGTAGCTCAGTTGGTTGGAGTATCCCTGATGCACCACAGTTATGGGCTCAGTCTCCAGTCAGGATACATACAAAAGTCAGCTAGTGAATGCATACATGAATGGAACAACAAATCTCTCTCTAAAAATCAATAAAAATAAATTACTATGCAAGCCTAGTCTACTTGTTTATCCAGACCTGGACAGTCAAGGCACATTTCAGTTTTATTTATGATCCATTTGTATAAGGCAGTGATTTTCAACCAATGTGGGCAAGGCACACTGGTGTGCTGCAAGAATTTTTAAAATATACAGTACCTTGGCCTCGCTGGTTTGGCTCAGTGGATAGAGTGTCGGCCTGGGGATTGAAGGGTCCCAGGTTCGATTCCTGTCAAGGGCAGGAATCGAACCTGGGACCCTTGGTTGCAGGCTTAGTCCCCACTATGGGTGTGCAGAAGGCAGCCCACCAATGATTCTCTCTCATCATTGATGTCCCCCCCCCCCTTAACCCACCTCTTCCTCTCTGAAACCAATAAAAATCATATAGTACCTATTTAGTCAGGAGCACTGACCTCTTTTCTCTTAGATTGTCAAATTAAAAAAATGACAACAGCCAACATAATAGCCATCTAATGCCCTGGCCTGTGTGGTTCTGTTGTTGCAGTGTCAGTCCTTAGACTGAGGGTTGAGTTCCCAGTTAAGGGCACATACCTGGGTATGGGTTCGGGGTACATGCAGGACGCAACCAGTGGATGTGTCTCTCCTACTCCTTTCCATTCTCTCTAAAAATCAATGGAAAAATATCCTTGGGTAAGGATTAACAAAAGTACAAATATATTTAGAATTGTTGTGTCCTCTTGATGAATTGACCTTTTATCATGGTGAAATCACCACCAACTTCTCTCCCCTGAGGCCTGGTCACCCCAAACTGCCCTTCCCTGTTGGCCTGGTTGCCCCCAACTTCTCTCCCCTGCCAACCTGGTCACCCCCAACTGCCATTCTCTGCCAGCCTGTTCACCCCTAACTACCCTCCCCTGCTGTCATGATCACCCACAACTGTCCTCCCCTGCTGGCCATCTTGTGGCAGCCATCTTGTGTTTTGGAGTGACAGTCAATTTGCATATCACTCATTTATTAGATAGGCTAGTTACCATGTGGTACAATAATCTGCCTTTTTAGCTGAGGTGTTTCGACTATTTACATTTAATGTGATTATTGATATGGTTAAGTTTAAGTCTTCTCATTTGTTATTTTTTAATCAGTCCTACCTGTTCTTCCTTCTACCTTATTTTGAATTAATTAATCAACTTTTAAATGATTAAAAATTTCTGAATTATTATGATTTTCTCTCCTTTGTTGACTTATTAGCTGTAACAGTTATTTTAGTGATTGCTTAAAGATTTATAGCTTACATCTTTTAACTTACAGTGTATATTCAAGTGAACCTTATAAAAGCATTCCTTCATTTCTTCCCTCCGAGCCTTTATGCTATTGTTGTCGTACATTTTATGTTGCAAAACTCACACTATAGCCCTAGCTAGTTTGGCTCAGTGAACAGAGTGTCGGCCTGCAGACTGAAAAGTCCCAGGTTTGCTTCCAGTCAAGGGCACATGCTCAGGTTTCGAGCTCCATTCCCAGTGGTGGCATGTGGGAGGAGGCAGTCAATCAATGATTCTCTCTCATCACTGATGTTTCTATCTCTCCCTCTCCCTTCCTTTCTGAAATCAATAAAAATATGTTTAAAAAAAACCCAAACACTATATTGCTATTATTTTGTTTAAATAGCTTATTATTTTTTAAATATTTAAATAATAAGAAAACAAATGTTATATATTTACCCGTGTAGTTACCATTTCTAGTGCTCTTTCTTATTTATTTATTTATTTATTTATTTAGTATTAATTAAAGAGAGAAAGGAAACATTAGTTTGTTATTCCAGTTATTTATGTATTCATTGGTTGATTCTTGTATGTGTCCTGACTGGAAATCGAACCCGCAGCCTTGATGTATTGGAACAACACTAACAAACTAAGCTACCCAGCCAGGGCTCGCTCTCTCTCTCTCTCTCTCTCTACCTCTCTACCTCTCTACCTCTCTACCTCTTTCTCTCTTTTTAAAATCTTCACCTGAGGATATTTTCCCCCATTGGGTTTTAGAAGAAGAGAGGGAGGGAGGAGGAGAGGGAGAGAGAAACATTAATGTGAGAGAAACATATCAATTAATTGACTCCTGCACTTGCCTCAGCCAGGCAGGGCTTGAAACTGCAACATAACCTTGACTGGATTCAAACACAAGACCCTTTAGTGGGCAGACCAGTGCTCTAACCACTGTACAACACCAGCCAGGGCCAGCCTAGGACCTTTCTGATGGTGCCATTGCTAAAGCACTGGTAGAAGTATAAAAATTGTACAACCCCTAAAACAGGGATCTTGGGGATAAGGGAACAGATTTACTTTTGGTCCAGTAATCCCAGTATTAGGAATTTACACTGAAAATAAACTTCCATAAATGACACATGCATAAAATTATTTATTGCCACATCATTTGTAGCAGCAGAAGATTGGAGACAACCCACATGTCTATCAACAGAGGTCTGATCGTATTACTGGAACTCCCATACAATGGAGTACTGTGCAGTTCTTTACAAACAAGCCAGGATTGTGTCCATGTGCTCATGTATAGTGATGAAAAACGGTGTGGAAAGGTTTATAAGTGGAGAAGTTGGAAATAAAGAGTGGATAAAAGTTGTGAGTATAGGAAACAAAGAGCTTATATTTGTATTATTATTTATTAATATATTTTCTTTTTTAATATATTTTATTGATTTTTTTACAGAGAGGAAGAGAGAGGGATAGAGAGTTAGAAACATCGATGAAAGAGAAACATCAGTCAGCTGCCTCCTGCACACCCACTTATGGGGATGTGCCCGCAACCAAAGTACATGCCCTTGGCTGAAATCGAACCTGGCACCTTTCAGTCCGCAGACCGACGCTCTATCCACTGAGCCAAACTGATTTTGGCTATTAATGTATTATTTTCCATATAAACAACTGTATAAACCTATTTTTACCCCACCCTGTATGTACTTACTTGCTTATTGTGCTAAAAAAAAATATATTAGAAGGATAAAACAGACATTAATAAAAATGATTACGTGGGATGAGAAGTAAAAGCCTGGCCTTTCTGAGTACCTCTTTGTAGAGTTTTGACTTTTAAACCATTGATACTTTATTCAAATTGAAAAAAAATAAATTTAAAGAGGGGAATGAAAGCAAACAGATCAATTTGAAATCATGAAATAATGAACTTAATTTTAAAATTCTTTTTTTAAATGAACTTAATTTTATGTAAAGTTGGTACTATACACACAGAAAAGAATTATTTTCGAATGACTTTTGAGCATAGTACTCTTTAGTGGGATATAGTTTAAAGCCAACCCAAATAAATTTAAAAGTTGCAAAGAAATCTTAAAGTAGTATGCAATTTAAAACCATTTTATGTATATTTTAGGATAAAACAAGTAAATTAGTTAAGAACTAAGATTTTCATTGTAAAAGCAAATATGATACCAAATAAATTATTTTTAAAACTCTATAGAGAGACATCACAGACTAAATAACTCTGAGTGTGCCATAGAAGAGAGTCCTGTTCATTCTATACATAGCATTAAGGAAAGAGCTAAAGATACTTCACAACTATAAACATGGATACACTTAAAATGCACAAAGGTCTGGAAAAAATGTGTAATGTGATTGCAGTGTTAATGATAATTTGAATTTTAGCATTTTGGTGTTTTTAGGACTTTTTGAGTGTTTAATTCTAAAGTTGCATTAGTTTATAACTAACCTTTATTTTTTATTTTTTTTAAAAATATATTTTATTGATTTTTTACAGAGAGGAAGGGAGATGGAGAGAGAGTTAGAAACATCGATGAGAGAGAAACATCGACCAGCTGCCTCTTGCACACCCCACACCGGGGATGTGCCCGCAGCCAATGTACATGCCCTTGACCGGAATCGAACCTGGGACCTTTCAGTCCGCAGGCCGACGCTCTACCACTGAGCCAAACCGGCTTCGGCTAACCTTTATTTTTATGAAAATGATATTAAGATGAATAGTCAACTGGTGATAAAATTTATGTACAAAATGTTTAAAGTATATTTACTCACTGTTTTTTCTTTTATTCTAGTTACTCTTTCTGGGAGTGGAGAAAATGGTAAGACACTTTTAGTCTCAGTTTCAGTAGACTACTTATGGTATCATAATTGCAACCTACCTACTTTTATTTAATGATGACTATTTGTGCTTTTATTTTCAGAAAGATAATATATATACACACACACACACACACACACACACACACATATATATATATATATTTTAAGCTTAAGTAACTAAAATGAGATGTAATACTGGGTTTATTTCTATATATTCAATATATTTTTCTTTGCACTATTTGTAAGTTGTTATTTTGTAAGGCACCTAGTACCCAAACTTCTTTGATATATATATGTTTCTGCCTTGTATAGTTTTCAGAATTCTGTAGTAATAGTTTAGATATTTAATAATCAATTTTAGCTAGGGTGGAGGAAGGGATTTTATTTTCTTTTGTTATGCATTTGTTAAAAATAGCACTGACAATTAGTTAAATAGGCTGGCTGTAAAAATGAAGATTGTTAGTTCATTTTGAAAGGGAATTAAAGTTTTTATAATGACTAGTCAATGACAATATTTTGAGAAAAATATTTGCTCAAAATTCATGAGATAAAATAAATTTTTCTACCTATTGAGATCAGATTTTAAAAATAAAATTTGATTTGAGATATGGAAATCCAGAGGATATCTAGAACAGTTGCATAGCTAGAAATTAATATTTATCCTTATTACTGGAAATAATTAAGCATTCATTATGTAAATCTCAAGTTGCTTTTGAATCTGGTTTCTCAGTAACAGAACAAACTCAATTTTGGTAGGCATACTTTTCTTCCTTTAAATCAGTACTGCTGCCGAAACCGGTTTGGCTCAGTGGATAGAGTGTTGGTCTGTGGACTGAAAGTTCCCAGGTTCGACTGTAGTCAAGGGCATGTACCTGAGTTACAGGCACATCCCTGGCAGCTGGTCGATGTTTCTCTGTCATCGACGTTTCTAGCTCTTTATCTCTCTTCCTTCCTCTCTGTGGAAAATCAATAAAATATATATATTTTAAACTTTATTTAAAAAAAAAAATCAGTACTGCTTTCCATATGTTGAATACGCACATACATAAAGCAGAGAATTTCTGATTCTTACAACAGCATTTTTAACTTGTATCATTATTTCTCATTATTTCTTGGGGCTATTTTCCCCATGTCTTCCAAAGAGTGTTTTGATGAAGTTTCTTTGTTCGCTTATTGGCTTTAATTCAGATATAGGTGATATTTGAATCAGATATTTTGATTTATAGGTTCAGTTGTTCTTTCAGCTTTGGTTTAATTTGCTTAGTTAACTTTTACTGTATATATTGATATTTCTTCCAGCATATATATGACCAGAAGTTTGTTATTAGCAATCAAATTGATTAAAACTTATTTAAAAGCAATATTTTCTATTCTTTACATCATATTTTTAAAAATATATTTTTATTGATTTCAGAGAAGAAGGGAGAGGGAGAGAGAGAAACATCAATGATGAGAATCATCTATCGGCTGCCTCCTGCACTCCCCCTACTGGGGATCGAGCCCACACCCAGTTATGTGCCCTGCCTGGGAATCAAATCATGACCTCCTGCGTCATAGGTTGATGCTCAACCACTGAGCTACACCAGCCAGGCTACATCATAATTTTGATGCTGGAGGGGCAAGTTCCTAGTGGCAACTCAAACCCTGAGCCAAGAGGGATTTGGGCGTGGAGCAGAAAATAATTCAAGATTAGCCCTCGCCAGCTTGGCTCAGTGGATAGAGTGTCAGCCAGTTGAAGGGTCCAGGTCTGATTCTGGCCAAGGGCACATGCCTGGGTTGCAGGGTTGATCCCCAATGGGAGCTGTGCCGGAGGCAGCCAGTCAAGATTCTCTCTCATCATTGATGTTTCTATCTCTCCTTCTCCCTTCCTCTCTGAAATCAATAAATATATTATAAAAAAATGAAATGAAAAAAGAAAAAGAATTCAAGATTAGATCCAGAGAAGAGGTTAAAGTGGAAAAGCAGGTTTTATTGAGCAGAGGGGACAAGTAAGAAAGGCCACTCTACTGGACTCTCCTCGCCAAAAAAAGGAAGATAGACCTCCAACCATCTTTAGAGACTGATTTATATCCCTTTGTAATTTCTATGGAAAATTGCTGGTATGGGGAAACAGAGTGGGAAAAGGTTGAGATTAACTCCAACCTTTACAAGGTATGTTTTTGTGGTATTGTGTTTTCCCTTTATGGTATGAGTAAATGATAAGGTATGAGTGAGTAGCTGTTAATCAATCTTCACAGGAATTTTCTTTGTCCAGAGGCTCTTCAAGATCTGCTTGCATCTCCAGTCAGCTGTTTCATGTCAGCACGTAGCAGGCCCCTGACTTAACTTTGTTTGACTTTAGTTAATTTATTATAGCTCTCATACCCCTTTCCTATATCAACTTGATAATAATATGTTAAGTACTTATATTCTCGGCATCATGTTGAGAGATTTATTTTACCTGTTTTGTAACTGTTAAAAGCAAAAAATTTTTAAAGCAAAAGCCATTTTGATTTTGTTCTTATGGAGAGTTGAAATATTCTAAAAATATGTTAACCCTTTTTAAACATATTTTTGGAGTATATTGCTTTATATTTTGGCCTTAGTGTAAATAACTAAAAGACCAAGTTTAAAGTAATTCTAGGTTACCATTTATTTCAAAGCTATATGATATTATGTAGATGAGGATTAACAGATTTGATTGAATATCAGGCCAGGCAAAAGTAAGTGAACTGAGCTAAGAAATTGACAGTTGGTATAACAGTAGGAGACAGCTCCAGCATGCTTTTCCAAAGGAAAAAAAACAAGTAAAGGAATTATATTGAATCCACTGGGTAGAACATGGGGTTCATCCTAGTGGGAACAGAGATGATACAAAGTACCGATTTTGAGAATCCAGGATTTTCAATAAGAATGACAATCAGTTTTAATGGAAGTGAAAATAAGGCAAATTTGAACATAGGAGGATGTTGTAATTAGGATTTTATCTTGGCATCAAATATTGGCTTGAAGTAGGCTGCGACCACCGTATGTTGCTAGAGGTAGACTGGTCTAGAAATAGATTCTTGCTAAATTGCAGGAAATGAATTTTGGATGATTTGAGCAATAATGACAAGATTTAGTAAAGGGAGGGCTGGGTATAGATGCTCCTGAAGGGGCTGCGGCACTACTTCATCCTCAACCAGATGGCTCAGCTCTGTCTTGCTGAGGAAAGAATCCAGCCTTTGAGGCTGCTTGTTCCCACCAAGCCTAGCAGGAGGGCCAGGACCCAGAGCTGCCCTACCATTAGCCCAGCATCCAAGACTCCAGTATAGTCTCTGTTCCCCTCAGGCCTGCAATTGCGTTTTGGACCACCTGGCTGCTTAAGAGAGAGAGCATGAGGCAGATTTGTTAATCTTTGATGCATTTCTTTGACTTTGGGAAGGAGTAAGCTTTCTTTCAAGTTACCTAATCTCATTCCTAGATCTTCCTGGCTCAGTGCTAGTGCCCCTCCCCTTTTGTTGGTTTTTTCCCTCCCCTTTATGGTTGCCAGCTTTGCTCCTACTGCACATACACTCATAGTAAAAGGACCTCCCCCTGCACCATCTTGGCTTTCACTGGGATTATCCCTTATTGTTTAACACCCTCTCCCTGCAGCCCTCATACATTCAAAAAACTGACAAGGGACCCCAGGAGACTGGAAAAAGGTCTTTCCCGCCTGCTCCAGAATTAGTACTAACCGTACCCTGGAGTTTCTGTGAAGCTACAACTTCTTTACTGAATCAGGTTTAGCCAGTTTTGCTCCCTTTCTCTTTCTCTTTTTTTCCCCCCCCTCATTTATTTATTAATTTATTAATTTATTATTATTATTTTTTAATCAATCTTTATTGTTCATATTATTACAAAGGTTCCTCATTTCTTCCCCCCTCCACCAGGTTCCCACCCCACCCTCCGCCCCCTCCCCATCCCCCATTGTCCTCATCCATAGTTGCACAGTTTATGTTCAACCTCTTCCTCCTCCCTTTCCCCAGTAGTAAATCCCTTTTCAGATAGTAAATCAGTTACTTAGCATTTTCTCATATCAATAATACCTCCACATGCCCAATGATACACTTCACACAAAAGACATTTCCCAATAGGTCAACAAGCCTCATCCAGGCCCCGCACAAGGTACTCACAGATCAACACCCCAGCCCTATACTAACTCAACACATCCAGATCTAAGCCTTCATCACTTGATTCAGCAGACCATCAAGTTCCCGCAAAAGTTTCCAGCCATGTCTGAGAGGCAGCCTTGGGGCAGGGGCAGGCGAGAAGTGAGCTGTTCCGGGCCTGGCTGCTCTGGGCCTGGCTTCTGTTGCTCTGGTCCGTTCCACAAGCTGCTCCAGGTCTGGTCACTGCCGCCCCCGACCTAGTTGCTCTGGACTTGGCTGCTGCTGCTCCGGGCCTGGCCGCACCCGACCCGGCTGCTCTGGGCCTGGCCGCTCCGGGCCCGGCAGCTCCCAGCCTGGCAGCTGCTGTTCCGGGCCTGGCCGCACCCAACCCGGCTGCTCTGGGCCTGGCCGCTCCCAGCCTGGCAGCTGCTGCTCCGGGCCTGGCCACCCCCGACCGGCTGTTCCGGGCCTGGCTGCTCCCAGCCTGGCAGCCACTGCTCCGGGCCTGGCCGCCCCTGACCTGGCTGCTCCGGGCCTGGCTGCTCCCAGTCTGGCAGCCTCTGCTCCGGGCCTGGCCACTCCCGGCCTGGATGCTCCGGGCTTGGCTACTGCTGTTCTGGGTCTGGCTGCTCCTAACCTGGCTGCTATGGGCTCGACCGCTCTGGACCCGGCCGCTCCCAGACTCGCAACCGCTGCTCCGGGCCTGGCCGCTCCCAGCCTAGCAACCGCTGCTCCGGGCCTGGCCGCACCAGACTCGGCTGCTCCGGGCCTGGCTGCTCCCAGCCTGGCAGCTGCTGCTCCAGGCCTGGCCGCACCAGACCCGGCTGCTCTGGGCCCGGCTTCTCCGGGCCCGGCCGCTTCGGGCCTGGCTGCTCCCAGCCTGGCAGCCGCTTCTCCGAGCCTGGCCACACCAGACCCGGCTGCTCCAGGCCTGGCCGCTCCCAGCCTGGCAGCTGCTGCTCCGGGCCTGGCCGCACCTGACCCGGCTGCTCTGGACCCGGCCACTCCGGGTCTGGGTGTTCCTGGACTGGCCACCCTGGGCTTGGCCGCCTCCGCCTCAGGCCTGGCTGCCACTGCCCCAGGTCTGGCTGCTCCAGTGCTGGCTGTTGATGCTCTGGTTCTGGCTGCTGCTGCTCTGGGGCCTGGCCATTGCTGCTCCGGGCCTGGCTGCCACTGCCTTGTGCCTGGCCACTCTAGGCCTGTCCGCCGCTGTTCCAACATTCTGTCTACTTAGTCTTTGATTTTTCAAGAACTTCTTTGTATTCTTTCTTAAGTAATTTACTATCTTTTGCTCTCACTTGATTTCTTCACATTGAGAACTTCTTTGGTTTCTTCTTCCTTGTCCTGGGAGCTCAGCAGGTTGGCCTGTGGCACCCCTTTGTTCTTCGCAGGCTCCTGCGCTGCTTCAGCCTGTTGCCGGGGTCGGCACCGCCCAGGAAGCAGCCCCCGGCCTTGGCTCCATTGCCCGCGCTCAGCGGTCGAAGGCTCAGGGGCACCCACCCCCCCTGGGGGCCCCGTCACCTGGTTCCTTGCTGGCGCCTGGCTGGCTGGTGTCTGGCAGGGGCTCCTGCTCCTCGTCACGTTCCTCCAGTCTGGAGCTTTTTTTCTCCTTCCCGCTAGGGGAGTCTAGCATCAGAGTCAACAGACTCTCCTCTGTGTGCAGTGTGCTTGACTCCAGGGGCTCGGCCTTTCGCCGCTCTCCCAGGACTCCACCTCACAGCCCCGTCTCCCTCTGCTTGAGCTTGGGTCCCCAAGGATTGGCCTAGAACTGGGGTTCAGGGCAGTCCGGACTGAGGCTCAGCGCCGCCGGAGGCTTTGTTTCTTCCCGCTAGGGCAATCTAGCATCAGAGTCAACATTCAGTCCTCTGGGCGCAATGTGCGCGCGACTCCGGGGGCCCTGCTTTTCGCTGCTCCCCTGGGATTCTGCCTCACAGCCCCATCTCCCCCTGCCGGAGCCTGGGTCCCCAGGGTCTGGCCCATAACTGGGGCTCAGCGCTGCCGGATCGGGGGTTCAGCCCAGGCTGGGGGTTTTATTTCCTTCCTGCTAGGGAAGGCCAGGCAGCACCCGCCCTCTCCTCCTCTCCGGCTGCAACCGCTCTGCGCGCGCGTGCGTGCAGGCGTGCAGCATGTCTCCGTACCTTAGGCTTTTTTTCAGCTCCTCTGATTTTCCTTCTGGTTTTCTCTTTCCTTCTTGTTGTAGAATTTTCAGTCAGTCAACTACCTGTAGCTCTGGGCAATGTCCACTCTACATTTTAGTTGTATTCCATTGAAATTGTTGTGTGCTGCCGCGGTTGGGTGTCTACCTGAGCAGCCATCTTGGATCCTGTCCCCCCTTTCTCTTTTGTTAATACCCTAACTAGCTACCTACCCTAACACTTAGATGATAGTTCAAGAAGTGGAAGAAAATAGAACTTTAGGTATGACGTAGTGAAAAGAACCTTGAATTTTTATCAAGAAGATATGGGTGTGAATTCTGGGCTTCTCATTTAGTAGTTCAGTGAAATTGGGCATGATATTAAATTCCCTGAGCCTCAACTTTTACATTTGTAAATTGAAAGAACACCTTACCAGATTGTTGTAAGGATTAGAAATAATAGATACCTTATCTTAATCTTTCAGTGGACAGAAGTGGTGATTTGAATAACTATAGTCAGATATGGTTCTGTTAATGTAAGAAACAGTCAAATCTGTAAAGAATTTTTGAGTCCTACAAACTCTACAGTTTCCAGGAATCAGAATCTCAACAGATTGAGCTAATGCTTGGGAGAATGGCAGTTTTACACCTTGTTTTATACATTACAATCAAAGGAGGAGACATAAGTGGGTTACATGAAATCCATTGGTGATAGATTAGGGAGATGGGAGAAAGGAAGGGGAGGGAATTGGGTAAAAAGTAAAATGATAGACCCGTGCTTCTTTAGGTGAGGACAGGATAGCTAACAATTAACACAATATCAATGAAGGAATTTGTGGTCTTTGTCCTGACTTATTGCTTGTGCCCTGAAGGGTCCTGAAAAGGGAAGTTAAAAATTACCCTGAAATTCCAAGGGTATGTTATTATAGATGCAAAAAGATAATTGGTTCAGTTAAGATCAAAGTTGATCTTTATCAGGGAAGATACTGATTTAGGGCTTGACCACCCATTATAAACTGCTTAAAAAAAATGATTTCAGCCGAAACCGGTTTGGCTCAGTGGTAGAGCGTAGGTCTACAGACAGAAAGGTCCGGGGTTCTATTCCGGTCAAGGGCATGTACGTTGGTTGCGGGCACATCCCCGGTAGGGGGTGTGCAAGAGGCAGCTGGTCGATGTTTCTCTCTCATCGACGTTTCTAGCTCTCTATCTCTCTCCCTTCCTCTCTGTAAAAAGTCAATAAAAATATATTTAAAAAAAATGATTTCAGAAAGGAACGGAGAGGAAGAGATAGAAAATCAATGATAAGAGAGAATTATTTATTGGCTGCCTCCTGCATGCCCCACACCAGGGATAAGCCTGCAACCAGGGCATGTGCCTTGACTGAGAATCAACCACTGAGCCACGCAAGTTGGGCTAACGAGTTTTTTAATTTTAAAAGTTGTAATTTTATACTATCCTTTGTGGTTACTTTAGGGTCTGAGTTGGCAAGGCTGCTATGTAGGCCTTCGCTAGTTAGGTTAGCATGTGGCCCCTTTTCATCCACAGTTCCGTACTAGGAAATCTGAATATTAGAATGCCTTTATTCATGTAGATGGAGTTACTTTCCAGGAATTTCACTACCAAGGGATGGTGGTGGGAAACTGAGCAACATATTACATTGCCCACTGAGATGGGTTGGAAGCAAGAGAAACTGGAATAGTTAGACCAACTGGCATTTGCATTAATCCAAGTGAGATAAGCAACAATTTATGAACAGTAACACTGGCAGTGAAAATAATGAGAAATTTACTTTGAAAGAGATTTTAGGAGCTGGAACTTGAAGTACTCTTTACTGATTAGCTGTATGACTGAGTAGTCATTAAGCCCTGGCTTCATGTTTATTTCCTTCCTTTCTCTTGGACCGGGCATAGACCAGGATAATTGCAAAAGAAAATGCTGGAGTCCATGGAGTTGACAACTTTTTATTGTTATTTTATTTTAAAAGAAACTTTGTTAAAATAAAAAACATAAGGAAAGATAACTTCAGACCAAAGAAAGAACAGGATTTATTATGTGCCAGGCATTGTCATGTTTTGCATTTATTATATTAGCTCATCAATATTAAGCAACTAACTTTAATGAATCAAGTGGTTTATTGCAGTCTGAGCAAATTATTTGGGGGTATAGTATGAAGGGATAATGAGTTTATAAGGTAATAGAGAAGGTTTTTGTGGAAGAAATAATATTTGATGTGAAATTTAAAATGAGTAGAACTTCAAAATTTTTAAAAAACATATTTCTGTTGATTTTAGAGAGAGAGGAAGGGAGAGGGATAGAGAGATAAAAACATCCATGGGAAAGAAACACTGATTGGCTGCCTCCTGCACAGCCTCTACTGGGGATTGAACCTAAAACCTAGGCATGTGCCCTGACCAGGAATCGAACCAGTGATCATTTGGTTCATGGGTCGACATTCAAGCAGTGAGCCACACAGGTTGGGCATGCTTATGTTTTTTAGTGGGTTTGTGATGTTGAATTCTAAACTTAGAATCTAAGTACCTGGTAGATAGTTCTTGCTTCTTGTGGAAATCATTCTCATTTCTTTCAAATAGAAAAACTACAGAACCCAATAAAAAGCTTTAAGTTATATCAGTGAGTTAATATTTGGAGATAAAGATGTTATAGTCTGACACTAATTTATTTGGGAAAGAGTTATGACATAAATTCAAAGTGGCTGAAATTTTTGGTTACCCTGCATTGAAAGGAGAGCGAAATTTAGGATATCTTTCTGAACAATCCAAGAGTTGAATTTTTCTAATGTACTGATTATTTGCTATGATATGAACTTCCTTTATTTTCAGGTCAAATTTAATGTTCATAGTAATGGAACATTTATTTAATATTCATAGTAATGGATTTAATATTCATAGTAATGGAATCTGGTTTAAATCATTGAAAATCTAACTTTTAGGAAGAGCTTGAAATGCAACCAGTGAAAGAGATGTTTCAACTTATATCTTCAGCAATTCAATCAAATCTAATCTAATCTCAGACTAATATTACAGAAACTATAAACCATGCTGTTAACTCTTAAATACAGAATGCTCCTTCATATCTGTAATATTATATCATGGAGATAAAGGACTTTATATATTTTATATCTTTAGTGTGTTTTTATTATTTTTTATTAGGTTAAACCTTTGACCCTTAATATTGTGTTTTAATGTAATGCTTTTTCTTGTTTTCACCGGAATTCAATGAAATATTATTTGTTTCTATTTACCAGGAAAGGCCGTTGCTTACCTTGTGGCTTTTCATCTGTTCTTTGTTATGTTTGTATGGTCGTATTGGATGACAATTTTCACCTCACCTGCTACCCCATCCAAAGAGGTAAATTTAATGTTGGTAAATTGCCAAATATTGTAACTATGGAATTATTTCTCTTGTGTTACCTTTGTTAAAGCTTTAGTATATCATGCATTTGTTCTGTTTCCATTCATGGAACTTACTTGGTAATTCTGCATTGTGGATGAGTCATCAGCCTATTCTCAGATACAACTCTACTGACATAGCATAAAGATTGAAGATGTGTTAAAGTTTAGCTATACTAATATTCTTCTGCCATGTTATATTTTCTTACAGACATATTATGTTACTGGAATAAAAAAATCTTAAGGGACAGAATGAAGTTAGAAAAGTAGGTTTTATTTTTAGAAATTTTTTAACATTTATATTTCTCAGATCCCAATGAAAAGTGATTTGATTGTGGGAACAAATTGTGACACCTTAATTTGGCGTGTGTTTCTTCTAGTTGAAGGTCCTACCTGGAAGATAATGTTAGTGAAAATGTTTACATAGAGTAAGTTTCAAGACCAGTGTGTGTCTCCTCTTGATATCGCCTGAATTCACCTTTACCTGTAATTTATAGCTAGATGTTTAATAATATAATCCCTAGAATTAGGATCATCTGATTGTGGTTTTTCTACTGTAACATATTACATAATGAATCTGAGCCTTAGTTTCTCTTTGGAAAATGAAGTTAATAATTGTGCCTGTCTCTGAAGGATGTTTATGTGAGAATTAAATGAGATTCACTCATATAAAGCTTTTTTTTAAATTAATAAATCTTTATTGTTCATATTATTACAAATGTTCCTCTTCCTCCCCCCTTCCCCCCCGCTGCTCTCCTCCACCAGGTTCCCACCCCACCCTCTGCCCTTTCCCCATCCCTCATTGTCCTCATCCATTGGTGCACGGTTTATGTTCAGTCTCTTCCCACATCCCCCTCTCCCCTTTTCCCCAAGAATCGTCAGTTCACTCCCCTTCCATACCTCTGATTCTATTATATTCACCAGTTAATATTGTTCATCAGATTTTTTTTTAATTTCCTTGGTTGTTAGATTCACTTGTTGATAGTTACGTATTTGTTGTTCATAATTTTTATCTTTATTTACTTTCTCTTCTGAAAGAACCCCCTTCAGCAATTCATATAATTCTGGTTTGGTGGTGATGAACTCCTTTAACATTTTTTTATTAGTGAAGCTCTTTATCTGGCCTTCTATTCTGAGTGATAGCTTTGCTGGATAGATTATCTTTGGCTGTAGGTTCTTACTATTCATCACCTTGAATATTTCTTGCCATTCCCGTCTGGCCTGCATATTTCTGTTGAGAAATCAGCTGACAGTCGTATAGGTGCTCCTTTATAGGTAACTACCTGCTTTTCTCTTGCTGCTTTTAATATTCTGTCTTTGCCTTTTGCTCTTGGAGTTTTAATTATGATTTGTCTTGGTGTGGTCCTCTTTGGATTCCTTTTATTTGGAGTTCTGTGTGCTTCTTGGACTTGTAAGTCTAATTCTTTCCCCAGGTGGGGGAAGTTTTCTGTCACTATTTTTTTCAGTATGTTTTCTATATCTTGCTCTCTGTCATCTTCTGGGACCCCCATAATTCTTATGTTGGTTTGCTTGAAGTTGTCCCAGAGGTTTCTTACACTATCTTCAACTTTCTGGATTCTCTTGCCTTCTTGCTTCTGTGGAGGAGTGTCTTCTGACTCTTTATGTTCCAAATCTTTGACTTGATCCTTGCGATCTTACATTCTGTTTTTAGGACTCTGTATACTATTTTTTAGTTCAGACAATGTATTCTTTAGTTCTTGTTGATCCCTTATTATTTCTTGTTTTTTTTCCTTCCTTTTTTATTTATTTATTTATTTTTTTAAATCAATCTTTATTGTTCATATTATTACAAAGGTTCCTCATTTCTTCCCCCCCTCCACCAGGTTCCCACCCCATCCTCCGCCCCCTCCCCATCCCCCATTGTCCTCATCCATAGGTGCACAGTTTATGTTCAGTCTCTTCTTCCCTCGCTTTCCCCGATAGTAAATCCCTTTTCAGATAGTAAATCAGTTACTTAGCATTTTCTCATATTAATAATACCTCCACATGCCCAATGATACACTTCACACAAAAGACATTTCCCAATAGGTCAACAAGCCTCATCCAGGCCCCACCCAAGGCACTCACAGATCAACACCCCAGCCCTATACTAACTCAACATATCCAGATCTAAGCCTTCATCCCTTGATTCAGCAGACCATCAAGTATCCGCGAAAGTTTCCAGCCATGTCTGAGAGGCAGCCGTGGGGCAGGGGCAGGCGAGAAGCGAGCTGTTCCGGGCCTGGCTGCTCAGGGCCTGGCCTCTGTTGCTCTGGTTCGTTCCACAACCAGCTGCTCCGGGTCTGGTCACTGCCGCTCCCGACCTAGTTGCTCTGGACTTGGCTGCTGCTGTTCTGGGCCTGGCCGTACCCGATTCGGCTGATCCGGGCCTGGCCACACCAGCCCCGGCTGCTCCCCCGGGCCTGGCCGCTCCCAGCCTGGCAGCCGCTGCTCAGGGCCTGGCCGGCCCCGACCCGGCTGTTCCAGGCCTGGCTGCTCCCAGCCTGGCAGCTGCTGCTCCGGGCCTGGCCGCACCCGATCCGGCTGCTCTGGGTCCGGCTGCCCCGGGCCTGGCCACTCCCGAACTGGATGCTCTGGGCTTGGCTACTGCTGTTCTGGGTCTGGCTGCTCCCACCCCGGCTGCTCTGGGCCCGGCCACTCCGATTCTGGGTGTTCCTGGACTGGCCACCCTGGGCTTGGCTGCCACTGCCCCAGGTCTGGCTGCTCCAGCGCTGGCTGTTGATGCTCTGGTTCTGGCTGCTGCTGCTCTGGGGCCTGGCCATTGCTGCTCCGGGCCTGGCTGCCACTGCCTTGTGGCTGGCCACTCTAGGCTTGTTCGCCGCTGTTCCAACATTCTGTCCTTTTTTTTTAAAACGCATTTATGTTGCAATGTTGGCTGGTGAGTTGAGTTCTGACTTAGTCTTTGATTTTTCAAGAACTTCTTTGTATTCTTTCTTAAGTAATTTTACTATCGTTTGCTCTCACTTGATTTCTTCACATTGAGAACTTCTTTGGTTTCTTCCTCCTTGTCCTGGGAGCTCAGCAGGTTGGCCTGTGGCACCCCTTTGTTCTCCGCGGGCTCCTGCGCTGCTTCAGCCTGTTGCCGGGGACGGCGCTGCCCAGGAAGCAGCCCCCGGCCTTGGCTCCATTGCCCGCGCTTAGCGGTCGAAGGCTCAGGGACACACACCCCCCCAGGGGCCCCGTCGCCCGCCTCCTTGCTGGAGCTCGGTTGGCCGGTGTCGCGTTCCCCCAGCCCGGAGCTTTTTTTTCCCTTCCTGCTACGGGAGTCCAGCATCAGAGTCAACAGACTGTCCTCTGCGTGCAGTGTGCGTGAGTCTGGGGGCCCGGCTCTCCCTGGACTCCGCCTCAGAGCCCCGTCTCCCTCTGCCTGAGCCTGGGACCACAGGGATTGGCCCAGAACTGGGATTCGGAGCAGTCCGGACTGAGACTCAGCACCGCCGGAGGCCTTGTTTCTTCCGGCTAGGGTAACCCAGCATCAGAGTCAACATTCAGTCCTCTCTGCGCGCATTGCGCGCGACTCCGGAGGCCCTGCTTTTCGCCGCTCTTCTGGGATTCAGCCTCACAGCCCCGTCTCCCCCTGCCGGATCCTGGGTCCCCAGGGTCTGGCCCATAACTGGGGCTCAGCGCTGCCGGTTCGGGGGGCTCAGCGCTACTGGTTTGGGGGTTCAGCCCAGGCTGGGGGTTTTATTTCCTTCCTGCTAGGGAAGGAAAGGCAGCTCCCCGCCCTCTCCTCCTCTCCAGCTGCGACCTCTCCATGCGCGCGGGCGCGCAGCATGTCTCCGTACCTTAGGCTTTTTTTCAGCTCCTCTGATTTTCCTTCAGGTTTTCTCTTTCCTTCTTGTAGAATTTTCAGTCAGTCGACTACCTGTAGCTCTGGGCAGTGTCTACTCTACATTTTAGTTGTATTCCATTGAAATTGTTGTGTGCTGCCGCGGTTAGGTGTCTATCCGAGCAGCCATCTTGGATCTCTCTCTATTTCTTGTTGATTCCTTATTAATTCTAGTTGATCTCTTTTCATATCCTCATAGGTCTTATCGACGTTTTCTAGGAAATTTTTGAAAAACTTTATAAGCGTAGATTTGAACTCTATATCCAGTCGGTTTTTGTCCTCCATTTCTTTCGTTTGTGATCTTTTTCCTTGTCTCTGCATTTTCACAGCTTCCCTGAGTTGGTAGCCTTAAAAGTCTCCGTGTTCTGCCTGGATGGGGCGGAGTTTCAGGGTGAAGCCTACAGCCTTGGCTTCCCTCAGCCCCGCCCTATGTGGCTCCTGAGTCTCAGTATTCCTTAGGGTCCTTCAGTACTCGTTGTAAGCACCTTTGAGAGAAAGGTGCCCTCGATTTTTGCCTGCTACCAAACAGTCTAGTCTCTCCCCCAATGAGCCCGGAACTTGGGTTCAGTTCAGTTGGAAGTGGACTTGCAGTGTTTCTGGTTTGACCTCACAGTCTTTTTGGTTGCTCTGGCCTTCTTTCTCTATGGCTCTAGCTGCCAGAGTGCTGCTGGCTCCCAGATTATCTCTTCTGGCTCCGATTCCCCGTTTCCAGGAAGGCAATTTCCCCCTGCAGTCCCCAGGATATGCCCAACTGGGCAGTCCTTCCCTTGTATTCAGAAGCAAGGGGGTAAAGGGGATCAGGCACCAAGGTGTCCAGATGTTCCACCCTTGGCGGGACAGCCCTGATTCTTAACAATCTGTCCCGTGTTCCTTGGCGTTTTAAAAAAAGTCCCGCTTCTGGGGAAGATTCCGCCAAACCCAGCACTGGGTGTCGCCGGGCAGGATTCTCACTGCAGCCTTCTTTGGGCACAGCTCGGCGCAGGTGGTCGCTCGGACGCTCCGAAACTATAGTGGAGGCAGGACCAGAGCTCCGCTGCTACAGTCGCTGCCAGTGCCGGGGGGACCCAGAACCGTCACGCTATCCCGCAAACTCTGACCTTTCCGTGGGT